TTTATCCATACTACTTCAATGCGTCATTCAGTGGAAAGTTTGATGTCGTTTTGCGGAATTAGTTCATCCGAGCTTGCAGTCGTCTATACCTATCTCCAGTATACAATACCTATGCTAGTGTGTTATTTTTTCTACTTGCAGATCACCATGCTTCGGTTCACTCAAACGTCAATTCAAGAACAGACATACCTTATCAGATATTGAAAATACAGGATCTACTGATGTAGTAACGCAAGAAATTGGTGAGGATCGGGGTAATAATTCGTTTGAAGATCGCAAGCATTAAAGTAACTCCAATTATGGATTGCACAAGAACTAACATAGATGAGCATTGCTGCATAGCGTGCACGTAGATTGTGCAGTACGGAAGCGTCATTGAGGATTGTTAAGTTGGACATGTCTTCGGTTTTCTCGTACTTTGGTGGATTCATTTGATAGATCATATCCTTCTTCACGGTTCTCTGAAAGAAAAACAATCTTCTCATTTAATGGCACACAGAATATGTGCGACGAAAAATGATTTTCAGCAAATTAAAAGTCGCACGTTATTTTCCGCGAGCCTTGTTCTGAACTATTATTCTGAATCAATGCTGCTGTTTTACGAAATGTATTCGATTGCGGTCTGTACATTAAGTTGAGATTTGATATATTCCATTCACAGATCTTATAAAATCTACTTCAAAGGCAAAAATCTGAAGGATGAATCAAGTGCACTTCAGCCTTGAAATCTAGGGAAAGATTCGTTCGGATTGAAAAGTTTTCAAGTCAGTAACCTCAGTTCCGCCACACATAATAGTAAGAACATCTCCCTTCGTAGCGACGATCTCGCCGGCAACATAACCTTCATCTTTATCCGGTACCCAGCAATTCTTTTTGGTGTCATATGGAATGGACTGGTCCTGAAAGGGTTGCCATCGTGTGAAGACATTGAACTCTAACACAATGAGCGATTCATAAAACACTCAAATTAGCAGAAATGCTGGAATGATACCATAAAGTTGTTCAGATAAGGTTTTTAAAACTTTCTAAACTAAAAAATAAATCCTTGTAGTGGTAACAACATTCACATGAAGCCTAAACTGCTTCAATTCCACCTGCGGAAATAGTGATGTTTTAGAACAGTAAAGAAAAAGGTGAATGATTTATTTAACCATAGATAAGAAATTGAATTCATTGAACTATCCTCTTTATTGCTCGATTTGTCCATTGAGCTTTGAATAATTTCTTTCGAAATTATAAACTTACCATAATCATTTGTTCGCGACTTCTCCTCAGATATTGCCATCCTGGATCGCTCTCGTATTCTGCAGCCATTCTTTCTGGGATCGATTTGAGATTTGGAAAGTTAGAAACGTTAACTTAGGGTTAGGTGCTAGGTGAAGCCCGACTGATGTGAACGTTCAGTAGCACTATACTTAAATGATTTTGCTATCCAACCAACACCGTCCTACTTGAAATCGATTCAACGAATTTCCTTCTCATTTGACTTTTTCTTTACTTTTTTTCACTATCCATTCTATCACAACGTCCTTCAATACAATCTCGATTCGGTACAATATATTCCACAGCGTATAACGATCTTGTCAAGCAATTTGTGTGTGTGTCTTTGGCATAGTGGTAAGGTTAGTGGGTGGTTATTTGATTAAGCTCTGCTTAACCTTCATGGAGTTGCTGTTTGCCGTTCATTTGAATGACGTCTCACTTTGCTTTAATCGACTCTGCACTATATAAAGCCACCAGTTTAATTGTTGATGTCATTATGATGTTTTGCGGTTGTCAGCTGAATCGCATATTGAGAAGCATTGTCTCACGCTTGCTCATTAAATTATTTCTGTAGTTGATTCTTGTTTAAATTGTAAAACGACTTTGTAGGATCATAAAACCGAAATGATCACAAAAAAGCTGATCAGTAGCAGTAACGGTGAGGAAAAAACTGCATCCAGCTGTAATACAGATAAGTAATTAACATCACAAGGTATACTTCAGAAGTTTATGAGGTGTTTGCTGAACGCGTATTTTTGGTTGACGATCGTTGAAGTGTTTCAGCAAATTGACGAAGATGATGTAAATCGCTTCCTTCTTACATTCAAAAGTTCATTTTCGAATTACATTCAGCAAACAGAGTTGTAATTGTAACAGTAACAATAACAACAAACATCATTCCTGAATGGAAACTTACAGTTGAGCATAGTATGTAAACTTACAGTTCATAATGGAAGCTTACAGTTCACCTATTGTTACTAGCTGAGGATAGTGGAGAAGCAACTCTGTTAGAGAATGAGGATATGAACAAAATGGGTTGTTTATCGAGAACTGCATAAAGAGAAATTACGACAATGAGAATGCTTTTAAGTGACAGCAGATATAAGAATGGATTTACAAGTAGGAATTGAATTCAATAGAATACGAATTCATGAAGACAGTACTGGAAATTTGGAACATCATCAGTACGGGAAGTTTCGGATGTTTTCATAACAAGTTTTCATAACAAGATATATCTAATTTCATAACAAGCTAAATCTGAATCTAGCAATGGAAATGCTCTCAGCTGTGGGTTGATTTCAGGAGAACTTCAGACAAATATTCAAGGTTACTTTCAGTGATAGGGTTTACAACAGCAAACAAGTCAGAAATAATTTGACTAGTCCAATAATTATCTCGCAAACATTTCGTAGGAAATGCATATACATGTTTAAGGTGTTTCATGGGGCTAGAATTCATCCAAGACCCTGCGATGTGGACTTTTGCTATGAATTAGGTGGAACTCCACTCATTACCGTTTCTTTTCGGACATTTTCAACAGCCAATGTATATATACCAATGAAAAAAATCATTCGAACCACTGCAAGATAAGAATCATACGATACATCGCGAAGTGCCTATCATAAAGAGAAAACTACAAATGATTATTCATCCTTTCTCAAGCTTCAATCCAAGATCGGCATCACTTCATAAGATACCAAGCTTATAAGATTTCAAAGCGGATTTCGAGGCGATAACTATAATTTACACTATACGTTGGCTGAGGTCGAGAAACACTGATTAAAAATCGTATTCATCCATCGATGAGTTAATCAAGTTCAGAGATTTCCAACATTGTTAGCATTGTTACTCTTTAGTTACGTTTGTTTGTGTACGTCAACGATCCTGAGCCATTTATTCAAAGCTCTGCAGAAAAATCTGCCCTATCTGCGTTTCAGGGTAGGTCCAGATTGCTGTGGTGCTCTGATATGTCATACTCAATCCAACTTCATTCAATCACTCATTTG